CGTGCACTATCCTGCTTTTTGACAACTTCTGGTTCATCAGTCTCCCATGGACAAACACTTCCACGTGCACTATCCTGCTTTTTGACATCTCCTGGCTCACCTGTGTCCCATGGACAAACTTCTGCACGTGCACTATCTTGCTTTTTGAAAACCTTTGGCTCATCTGAATCCCAAGGACAAACCTCTTCCCGTGCGCTATCTTGTTTTTTTAAAACTCTCGGCTCTTCTGTTTCCCACGGACAAACATCTCCAAGAGCGCTATCTTGCTTTTTGAAAACTTTTGGCTCTTCTGTTTCCCACGGACAAACATCTCCACGAGCGCTATCTTGCTTTTTTAAAACTTTTGGCTCTCCTGTTTCCCATGGACAAACATCTGCCCAAGCGCTGTCTTGCTTTGTCAGAACTTTTGGGGCCTCTGTGTCCCAAGGGCAAACATCTTCCCGTGAATTTCCTTGTCTTTGTAGCCTCTCTGATGCTTTTGATACTTCAGTTTTGACTGCCCCTGCATCCTCTGTATCCCATGGACAAACATTTGCGCGAGTTGTGTCTTGCTTAACATGACTCTCTGATGTTTTAGGGACCTGTGGCTTTCCCGACTCTGGTTCGGCACTATCCCATGGACAGACATCTGCCGGCCTTTCCAGTCCTTGTGATACCATCTTGGTAACTGCAGTTTTTTCAGGCTGGTCCGTTTCCCAGGGACATACGTTTACTTTTCTGTCACCTTTCCCATCAGTCTCTGCGGAAGCAGCTTTCAGAGTTGAGACACCTTTTTGTGAGTCTTCTGGTTTGTCTGATTCTCCAGTTTCCCAGGGACAAATATCTATCTTGATGGTCATTTGTGTACTTGAGCCTGTATTTGTTGGCTCAGTGTTCTCTTCTTCCCATGGGCAAATATTCCCCACGTTTTTAGGGGGATCAGGGAAATCCCATGGACAACTTTCTGCTGCCTTGGTCATTTGTCTACCTATATGCAGGGCAGGTGATTTTGGTGAACTTTCTTTTGATGCACCAGGATAGATAGCAGGCTTCAAAACTTCTTGTCGAATAGGCACCGACAGTGATCCCTTAGCTTCCAAAGGATTTAGGTTTTCATATACAACTTCAGACTTGTCCTGAGCATCCCAAGGACAAACATTAGCATATTCATTACCTTGCCTTATTGAAGGTTGGGGACTTTCTGCAGTCTCCCAGGGACATACATTTGCTGTATGTTTTAAAGACAGTTGTGCCTGTGAATCTGTGGATATATTAGTATAATAAATAACAGGAATATCCTGTGTTTCCCAAGGACACGCTTCACCACGGCCACTTCCTTGTCTTCTCACATTACCTTGCCCTTGAGATTCCCAGGGACATACATTAGATGGTTCTGATACCTGTGATTCCCAAGGGCAGACATCTGCTTTAACGCTCTGCTGCTTCTTTAGTCTCTCTCCTTCCTGGGAAGTACCAGCTCCATCCCATGGACATACATCTGTTTGGGAAATATTGCGGACTGGTGTGATTCGATTGCTACCTCTTCTGTGAGTTGAAGGAGTTCTACAGCTGCTGGCAGTTTCCCAAGAACTGATACTACCACGTTTGCTGTTCTGCCTTGATAAAAACACATTTTCATAGGTGCCATCTTTTTGCATATCATCCATGTCCCAAGGGTAGACGGCAGATTTTACAATCACGAGCCTTCTTGGGCTTCTCTCCCCAGAATCCCCAGAGGACAGTCTGATGGCATTCTGCTTCACAAGGCATGGTTTATCTACTGTCTTACTTCTTTTCTGCAGTGACCTCTTTTCCATGCTTGGACGTCTACTAGATGTTCCTGATCTTGGTGTTGTGGAAACACTTTCCTGACTTTTTTGTGAAACGGCATCCTCTTTGTTTAAATTTCCCTCCTTACTGGATCTGCTCCCTGCGTCCATGGATCCCATCACTGATTTCACAGAGAGCCACTTAGTGGTGGTGGTGCGGAAGGAGAAGACACGTTGATCTTTTGTGAACTTTGGTCTAGGAGTGCCCGGTGCACTTGCAGACACAGGGGCTTGTGGTTTGGGGGACTCGGTTTCACCTATTCCCTTATCCACTGAAGGATTCTTTTCTACAGGTGGTATATGGTCCCAGGGACAGATAAGCACCTCTGGAGACAGTGGCCCTTTTCTCTCACAATCCTCAGTGTTGGCATAGGTGACATGCTTCTGGTTCTTGTCCCCTGATTGTTCTGGTTCCACCTCCCAAGGACAGACCTCAGCCTTGTCATATGACTCTGACTGGAGAGCACTCCTGGTCTGGTCACTTATTGAAATGCTCTGCCTAGACCTCGTCAGCACTGTGCTGGCTCTGTTCACCTTGGCTATGTTCTCCATTGAATGAGCAGTTGTGGAAGTTAAACTCCAGGACTTATGAAGCCTGGTGTGATCAGGATGCAGGAGATTGGTATCAATTGTCAGATTTTGTGCACTGGCTGACTTGCAGACCCCTGGTGGAATATCCAAGGAGTCTGTCTCAGATCGCCGTGATGACCTTTTCACAGTGTTGGCCTTTAACATGGAGTCACGTAAGGATGGGTCTCTTTCCCTGACATAGTGATGATCACTTTGGGACTTGCGCATGGATGGTGATGGTGATGATGATTTCATCGAACTTTTGTAACTGATACTTATAGTATCTGGGCCCCTCCTAAAAGAGTCGGGCCGATTCACACTGATTCTACTGTGGAAGGATCCATCTCTTTCCTCGCGGCTGCACTGCCGACTCATGCTTTCTGGGATCTCAGCAATGCGTTTAATAATGGATCTCCCCAATGCACATCGGGAACTTCGCTTCTTTGACAGATGAGGGTTGTTTGCTGTCATCTTCTTGGTCTTGTGGACTTCTAACTGGGCATATAACTTCTTCAATTCATCCTGGTGCATATAAAGAAGGAAGGGAATTGATGAAGGGATTGAGGAAATGATTGAGGAGAGGAAAAGATATGGAGAGTAACAAGTCAGAGGAAAGGTAACAGACACGTTTTCATGTAAGAACACCATTTAGGACAAGGACAGAGGGTGGAGAAAGGTTATAAAACATATGTTCATTCTGCCATTGCTTGTATTTACTGTTAATTTATGATTTAAATTATGATTTAATTTAAGATCTGTTTAAGTGAGTCTACATGTGGTCATAACTAAAATTAAGGGACATTTAGTTTCCTTATTTAAATGTGACCTTTGGAATTTCTTCCACATTTTGTAAATGATGTCCCAATGCAAAGTGATAACATCGTTCTGAGTGGACGAGAGAGTTTACCCGAAAGTCATCCGGGTCCACTCCACTGTGCTCACTCCAAGCAGAGTGAAAACTGCTGTTGAGGTATGAGCCGGAGCGCCGCAGGTCCACTTCATCTTCATATACCTCTGCTGCAATCTCCTCTCTCCCCGGCTTAGACACATAGAGAAACTGTGGAACACAAACAGGTGTACAATTCATATGTAAACATTTCACAAATAAAGACATAAGCCCCTTTTACGCTGCCTGTTCAAGGCCAGAATGTCACGCTGTTATACCGTCTTGCCATTCTTTATAAAACCTACAATATAGGAATAGAGGGATGGCTTTGTTTCGCCTTAAAGCCAGCAGCGAAGGTAGTTACAGCGCTGATTCATTGTCTGTGTGAAATGGACAGCCTGGATGGGAAGAGTGTGATGTTTTGACGACGTGTTTTGTGTGCATCCCATCGCCTGGAAAATCAAAAAGCTAGAGATAGTAGATAATGCAAACAAGAAGAGCAGCAGTCATAAAAGTATACAAATTCAGGAACTCCTTATCCCTGAGCAGAGGACGAGATCAGCTGCCATATAACAAGGATTGTAAATGATTGTTATTACCATGTTATGCCATTGTCATTGTTGATAAAGCGTATCTTATGTCACAGTAGAGACTGATTGTCTAAAGTCACACACTTAGGCCACATTATTCCTGCGCTGTTTGGTTCTATGTTTAAAAAAAAAGCCAAGGCAAACTAAAGAAGGGACTTTGTAGTGGGGCATATGGTGCAATCTCTGTAAATCTCTGGGCTATTGTGTGTAGTCGTGCGCATTCAGATACAGCTGAGTTATGGATGAAACATTTATATAGGGTGAAATTTTCCACAATTATTGGATGAATTGTCATAAAATCTTGCAAAGATATTCGAAAGAATGTCAGCTTTTCACAGCACACATGTTTGCATACCATGCCAATGTAGGAGGAGTAGAAAGATCCTAGAACATTAACTATACTGTACTATATAAGTACAGTTTTTAGGGAGTGGTACTTTACCTGAGTATTTCCATTTAACTAACCAGACCAGCAAACTAATTGGCTCATTCCAAACTCCTCTATGTGAACTGTATAACTGCTCAGTGATCAGGAAAACCACCCCGATCGCAGAGGACTCTTCTCACCCCCTCCACCACTCCTTTTAGTTACTTTTATCAGGCAGACGGTACAAACTCCTGCTAGCCTGGAAAAACATCTACAAGAAATCCTTCATTTCCTCTGCAATAAACACCCTGAAGAGCCCACTCTCACTCCGAAGTTGTCGAAATCCAGCACTTGGGCAGTGACTTGCTGCGTCAGAAATCGACGAAAAAAGGCATCCTTAAATGTTGGCATGATATGCGGCCGGTTGCCGTTATAGTTTAACGGCGCCTGGTGGTGTCAGGGGGAAACGCGGCAGGACAAGGACGAAAGTTAAGGCGGTGAAAGTCCAAGTGGGGAAGGTGGGAGGGTCCAACAAACACTGACTTTCACCCGAGAGAGCGGTGTTCGCATCACGTTCCCACTTACCCAACTACCTGCCCGTCTGTCTGTCTGTCTGTCTGTCTGTCTGTCGTCAGACGTGAAATTTTGGTTGGAATGAAAATCGTGTGAACGTGTATTTTAAATTATATTTAAAATGTGTAATGATGCTAGAGTTTTGTGATGCAAGGACATTAAAATTCTGACATTTTGCAGACGTTGGGTTTTGTTCTCCATACTTTACGACTAAATGTGGTTGTTTTACATTAAGATGGCGTTGGCATGAGACCTTTGGAAGACACTGGATTTCAGTTACTTAACAACACACCTTAAAACCAACAAAATATCAACGCCATCTGTCCTCAGTACTCAAAGTTGATGTTGGCATTAGACGTCACAACCTAAATTCAATTAAATATCAATGCCTGAAGACATTGGTGGCCAGTTGGGTTCACTCCACTACATTTATTTGAATCAGCAAATACATTATCATGTTTAATTCTAGGTTAAGACAGTGGTTCCCAACTCATAAAGCCATGGGGTCCAGATTTCTCCTTAGTCATTAGTTCAAGGTCCACACAGTTTATTCAGCGTCATAATTGGTTTGACCATGTTGTCCAGCTCGTTTGTTGTCTTTGTCAAGCAGCTGTCTGTTAGTCACTCACTCTACAGCAGAAAATGGCACTCCAAATTAAAGGCTTTGTGCTGGAAATGCACTGTACTTAAAAATAAAGTGCCTTTTATTTATTTTTTACTAACCTGACATCGAATCACTCGCAGACCATTCAGAATGGACCCACCAGTTGGGAACCATTGGGTTAAGATACACCTTTATTGATTTGTTGGAGAAATTCACAACCCACCCAGCAGTGTAAAACTTCATCCTCCTTTACCAGCTGCAACGTTAAAGTGATGCATCGATATTTATAAAAAATATACAAACATAGTTATTTATTTTTCATCTACTCAACAAGTGTTTTTTTGTTGTGTGATGAGAATTACAGCTGGGTACATGTGACACAGTACTTCCTGTAATCCTGAGGGACATGAAAATATGCCATGACACCTTAATTCACAGCGTTACTTATCAATCACATTGATGCAATTTAAATAAACACGGATTAAGGCGAGAACTTTTTAAATATACATTTTTTTATACTTAATTAATGACCAGTGTCTACACTGAGCCCTCATTCTACCCAAATTTGACTCCCTTTTTTCACCATGACGTAAAAATGCTGAGTACCTTTGGAATGAAGAGCAGGGCGAGCGTCACAGTGATGGTCACATGGGTGTGCGTGAAGGAGAGCAACAACATCCAATCAGGATGAAGAGAGGGAAAGGTGAACCTGAGGGCGACAGAGAGCACCAGATAAAGTCACATAAGCTGCTCTGCTGCAGGTTAGTTGTCCTGAATCTGAGAGGTTCAGAGACATGCTCGCTGGTTACCTGAGCAGGTGAAACATGGAGGAGAGGAGCAGCTCGTTGTGGATGGCGATGCCCATGTAGCGAGGCTCGTGGAAGGCTGAGGGGACCGGCCTGACGGCGGTCCAGAGGGAGCTGCCCCAGCACAGGAACAGAAGCTCAGCTGTGGCAGAACAAAGTCAGTTCAGGTAAAATAATAATGCAGATGTTTGAGGTAAGTATGATTCATCAGTCTAATACTGATGAACTCCTAATAATGTGTAAACTGTCAAGATAGTTGGAGTTACTTTATTTTTTAAAGTGAATTCTTGTTACTTTAGCCTTATTGTTGTAGTTTCGTAGTTCGACTTTGACCTACCGTTGTTTCCTGTGCAATGAGGGATTATCACTGATACTGCAGTTGTCGTTACCTTTGGTTTTATCCCCAAAATTAAGTAAGACTAAATAATCTGATCCCTCATGCTTTGCATTGGGTTCCTGGTTTGAACCCAGGGTGGAGGAGCCCTTCTGTGTGGAGTTTGCATGTTCTCCCCGTGTCAGTGTGGGCTCAGCTTGGATAGCTTGGATAGCCCCCCCCCCCCCCCCCCCCCCCCGCAACCCCCAACAGGATAAGCGGTTATGGAAAATGAATAAAATCTTCTTGACCATTATTTGAGGTCAAAGTATGAGTTGAGTTTTACGAAATGTTTAAACCATTTTAAGTTTTCAGTATGTCACTTAAAAGATCACTGTAAAAGTAATCTCAGGTGTCCAGGCTCGTCTTCACCTCTGCTGCCACTCACCCACAGCCATCATGTAGTCCCAGCGGTCCAGGTAACACAGGTTGAACCCCTGACCGTCCGATGTGTTGGTCGTGATGAACACCGGGATGTTCCTGTCGCGGTTCTGCAGAACGCCAACCGTCCACGCACACAGGAACCAGCTGACCGTCATCAGCATCACTCCCAGGATCCTTAGCAAGTGGAGGCTGGACATGTAGGGCACCCTCTGGGCCGTGCGCGAGAGGAACACCTTCAGGACCCTGTAGAGGCAAGAATCAATTAATGTTTCACTGCTGAAGACAAAATGTGGGAAATGTAGATACAGTGTCTTGGGGTTTGTCCTATTACAATCTGTGATTTAAATCGATTTTTATTGGGGATTCTGGCCCTTTCAGAGCAGGTGTATATATACTGAGATCAAGTGACACTTGGGTTGCACACAGTTGGATTTTATTTAACTAATTATGTGACTTCTGAAGGTCAATGATAACATCAGATCTTATTAAGGGGCTTCATAGCAAAGGGGTGAATACATTTGCACGCACCACTTCTCTGTTTTTTTAATTTCATTTAAAAAAATGTTTATTTTTGCAAGGCACCGTAACTATGAATGCATGAGAAGACTAACTTTGGAGGCTGAAGGACTTTTTGAAGTGAGACAATTTAACTGTGGCTGACAATTTACAGGATAATGGCACATTTAATTTTCCTTTTCCAGAAGTAAAAATAACAAACATGTTTCTGGTGAGGTATGACAGTGTTTTTACATCTTTGAGATCTACACCTCAACTCCAAGTTCTACCAGCTGACGGCCTCCTAAAGATCTAACAAACCTGCTAGGTTTATGCAGCACTTTAATATCTATTCTTTAAGTGCAGACTGTGATCTGAGTATTTCTAATAGGTGAATGTTTTTACCAACTAAACGTCAGTAGAATAATTGCAGTGTTGAAGTCTAACAGGATGTTACTGTAAAATAAAAGAAATTACAAACCCACCTGTACATTTTCAGTGTGACAGTCCCGTAGACGATGGAGAAGCCGAGCATTCGGACCCAGCGGAGCAGAATACACCTGAATGTACTCGGCTTGAAGTACATGATGAACACCTGCAGAGACACAGAGAGAGGGAGACACTCACTGTAAGTCAAATACTACCATACTAGTTCTAATGCTGCTACAAGTACTACTGTTACTATGGGATACACAGGAAGGCAATCAGGCACTCTAGAAATATAGAAAAAGAGGAAGGAAATGTTAAAAAGCCTTTGTTGTAGTGGCTAAATCATTAAAACAGCTAACATGTTTCGACCACTGCAGATCTTTGTCAGGGCTTTAAAAACATACAACAAAGGCATGGCCCCACCTATACCGTATCAGGAACCATTCAGAGGCCATCATATTACTTAACTTTTACTATCATTATTGGTGCTTCTGCTGCTGTTACTATAACTAAAACTAAAACTTCCTTTTTAAAAAGTACAATGTGTTTTTTTACATTGTGAATACGTTCAGTCGGTCACACTCAGCAGCAGGTTTTCAGTTCAGTACGTAACAGTAGAGTGGATGACTGTAATCCAGGAATTAAAGCTCATTCTGCTGTGACAGTCAGTCTCCGTCACTCTGGATAAGAGCATCAGCCTAAAGCCTAAAATGTGAATGCAAATTTGCATCATTGTGTTGGAACCACTCATAAAGGATAAAACCACTCAGAGTGAATACATATAGAATCAGAGACGACGGACAGTAAACATCCAGACAAAGGCGGTTTTAATCAGCAGAAATGGCCTGCACTCAGGGGCAGATTGGGGTCTCGGTTATAGACGGGGAGGTAATCTGATTGGTCGATCTAAAGCTACGATGACTGGGTGGAGCCAAAAAAGAAACCCCAGTGACCTCAGTGAGTACGGGTTCTCTGTGATAACCTCGTGACGTTTCTATGATCCTAATAACTTCAGTAATCCCCTGATTTTTCTTCTAGCGCTGTGATGATGCTCGTGGTTTAAGTTAAATGTCTCCACAGCTGTTGGATGCAATGTCACAAAATTTGGTTCACACATTCATGTTCCCCTGACAGGTCAGGACATTTCCAGCCATGTTTGTATCAACAAAATTAGGCATCTTTTAACAAAACGTCGGGACATGTCCAGCCGTGTTACTAGTGACAAAAGCAGGTATTTTTTAATGAGAGTTTGGCACATTTCCAGATGTGTTTGTAACAACAAAAGTGGGTCATCTTTAACAACACGTTTGGACATTTTCAGCCATGTTCGTAGTGACAAAAGTGTGTATTTTTTAAGAACACGTCGAGACGTGTCCAGAGTTGTTTGCAGCAACAAAAACAGGTATTTCTAAACAAGAGTTCTGGATTTTTGCAGAAGTGACTGTTTAATTTAACTACACATCTGGACATTTCCAGCCGTGTTAGTAGCAATAAAAACAACTATTTTTGACAAGCGTTCAGGACATGTCCAGCCTTGTTTGTAGCAACAAAAGCAGGTATTTCTAAACAAGCATTCTGGACATTTCCAGTAGTGATTGTAGCGACAAAGGTAGGTTTAATTTAACGACACATCTGGACATTTCCAGCCGTGTTAGTAGCAATAAAAACAACTATTTTTAATAAGCGTTCAGGACATTTCCAGCTGTGTTTGTAGCGACAAAAGCAGGTATTTTTTTAACAACATGTCGGGACATGTCCAGCCTTGTTTGTAGCAACAAAAGCAAGTATTTCTAAACAAGCATTCTGGACATTTCCATCCGTGTTTCTAGCAACAAAAGCAGGTATTTTTTTAACGAGAGGTGGAGACATTTCCAGTTGTGTTTGTAGCAACAAAAGCAGGTATAATTTAACAACATGTTGGGAAATTTCCAGTTTTGTTGGAAGAACAAAACTGGGTATTTCTAAACAAGAGTTCTGGACATTTCCAGCGGTGATTTTAGCAACAAAAGCAGGTCTACTTTAATTACACATCTGAACATTTCCAGCTGTGTCAGTAGCAATTAAAAACAAGTATATTAACAAGTGTTCAGGACATTTCCAGCCATGATTGTTGCGACAAACGCAGATATTTTTTAATGAGAGGTGGGGATATTTGCATTTGTGTTTGTAGTGACAAAAGTGGGTATTTCTAAACAAGAGTTCTGGACATTTCCAGTAGTGGCTGTCACAGCAAAAGCAGCTATTTCTTAATGAGATTCTGGAACATTTCCAGCCATTATTGCAGCAACAAAAGCAGATGTTTTAACGACAGGTCGAGACATTTTTAGCTGTGTTTGTTTGTAGCAAAAACAATGGGTACTTTTTAACAACACGCTGGGATATTTCCAGCTGTGTTTGGTTGTGGCGACAAATGTGGACATTTTTTAACAACAGCTAGGGACATTTACAGCGGTGATTGTAGCTACAAAAATAGGTATCAATTAACGACAGTTGGGAAATTTTCAGCCATGTTTGTTTGTAGTGAAAAAAGTGGGCAGTTTTTAATGGCACGACTGGCGGCGTTTGTAGCAACCAAACCGAGTATTTTAAGCCAAAATTGAAACGTAAAGTTTCAACATATCTGCTTCATGTAAAACCTACAAATGTAACATATCTGTTGTTTGCAGAAATGAACAAAGCCAACATTTAATCTAGTGACTGGGTTGGATTTGTAAGGATAGTACTTGAGTAAATGTACTTACATATTAGTACTTGTACCACTAATGATAGTAGCAGTAAGTGTAGCAGTAGAAGGAGCAGTAGTAGAAGACCTAAAGAGACTAAAGTACAAGTAGGGATTTGTAGCCTACTTGCCGTAAGTACTGCACTCCTAACCCAGCTTCACACTCTGATTACTTTAATCAATTCAATCAATAAGCTTTCAGAGCAGGACGAGCACTACGACTGTTCTCCACGTGCACAACAAACAAGCCCTCCAGCAGGTGATCTGTTTGTAGATGAAGTGGACGCCCTCTCCTGTCAGTGACCCCTCGCTGAGATGAGAGTGAACTCTGACCTTTCTGACCAACTTTCAGAACTACAGTCAGACATGTGGGCTGCAATTCACCTTTGAATTTCTCCAAACAGAACTCAAAATACCAAAAGAGATGTTGGTCATTTTTCTGCACTTCCTGCCCTGTCTTACATCACTGTACTGTACAGTATACATAGCTTTACTGTTTAAATCATATTGCTCTGTATCCTGTATTTATCGTCATCTTAAAGTGTTACTATTTTGAACAGCTTCAGCCTTTTCTCGCTCATTGTCCTCATCGAATCCTTTGCACTGCCCTTAATTTACTCAAGCATATTCAAATTTCATTGTATAGTTGTGACGTCTACATTTTATCTTTCAATTTTATACTTCTCTTTTCTGTTTCTGAATGAACAAAACATTTAAATCATTAGATTAAAAACTGCCAATATATCACAAATATAGACTAAAGCAGTGGTTCCCAACTGTTGGGTCCCGGGTCCATTCTGAATGGACCGCAAGTGACTCACAAACGTGTCAAGTTTGTAAAAAACACACTTTATTTTGAAGTACAGTGAATTTCCAGCACAGAGCTTTTACTTTGAATTGCCGTTCCATGCTGTAGAGTGAGTGACTAATGGGCAGCTACATGACAGAGACAGCAAACTAGCACGACTACATGGGCAAACGCAAGTAAATTGACCTTGAACAAATGACAATGACAAATGAGAAATCTGGACCCTGTGGGAATTACTGGACCAGAGGAAGAATATTGTTAATGTTTGCTGCTTGCTTTACTGTCTTGTGATTGACAGAGATATGAGTTTTAAAACTTCCATTGTGTAGGAATTAGGGGCATCTATTGGCAGAGATGGTACATAATATTCATAACAATGTTTCATTAGGGTATAACCACCTAAAACTAAGTATCATTGTGTTTTCATTAGCTTAGAATGAGCTGTTATATCAATAATAATATCCACAAACAGAGCGGCTCATCTTCCACGGAGTTTGCTTTGTTTGTGTTGTTTCAACTGTAGCTCAAAATGGACAAACCACAGTGGTTCTAGATAGGGCCATTTTACGACGGCCACCATAGCTCCCCTGCACGCTTGGTGCACAGGAGAAGTTTCAGTTCTGCAACTTCATTGCTAGATGCCACAAAATCCACATGCTGGACCTTTAAGTCTTAAGAGCGGTTAGAAAACTGGAGCAGCTATTGTGAAGTAAAATAAATAGCACCACATCTCAGTATAACACATGTCAACAACAACACCAACTGCAAAACCTCCATAATGACAATAAATTTCAATCAACGTGTCTCTAAAAACAGTTAAGCTAAATGTACCCAATAAACTGGCAACATGTTACAGCAGTGGTTCCCAACTGGTCCAGCTACGAGGTCCAGTTGTCTCTTTAGTCATTGCTGTAGTTCATGGTCCACACAGTTTAATACATTCAGTGTCATGCTTGGGTTTGGCAGGAAACTGGACTTAGAAAATGCAGCTCTGTGCTGGAAATTCACTGTCCCTAAAAAAAAGAATTATTTTTACACAATAGACATGTTTACAAGTCACTTGCGGTCCATTCAGAATGGATCTGTGATCCACTTTTGGACTGCGACCCACCAGTTGGGAACCACTGTGTCACAGAGTACTTGTATCTGACTGACAGAGCTCTCGGCCTATCACGCTCAGCCTTAACCTCAAGTAAACCCAATGCTTATCATAATCCCCCCCAAAAATCCTGATTCTGGGAAATGAATTAGGATTGTCTCCTGTACCTGCCAAGATGGCAGCGAGTGGGAATATCAAATCCAGGCCTCAAACTGCCCCTTCAGAAATCCTCTTGTCACCAACATTATACCCATGGATTTCTATTTGTTCTAATCTACAGTCTGTAATCTGTTCAGTCATCACTGCTCATGCAAAAAAACCTCTTAACTCCCTAAGTTTATTATTTTTTTAAATTGATGCTTAACGTGTTCAAAGAGGTCTTTTCACATTGCCACATGGTATCCATATTATATCTCCATTTGTACAGTGTCTTCCCCTTTTACACCAACTCACACAGAGGAAACCTGACCCAACTTGTTATCCAGAATATTATATCTGAAGAAAACAGTATGTTTACATGACATTAGAGAAAATCAATTTATTGTGTTAGTCTGGCTAAAAACACCCAGATAATGAGACTGGGAGTTGAATTCTTCCTGCATGTATACAGTCAATCAGACCCAAACTGGTCTAGACGCTCTGCACATGCTCCACAGTGTCCGCCCCCGGGCTTTGACCTGGAAGTCAATGAATCAATTTCAATCAATCAATTTTATTTATAAAGCCCAATATCACAAATCACAATTTGCCTCACAGGGCTTTACAGCATACGACATCACTCTGTCCTTAGGACCCTCACAGCAGATAAGGAAAACTCCCCAAAAGCATTAAATGTAACAGAAGAAGAAGACGGTAACAACATGGAGAAATCTACATCCAGAACCGTGATGTTTTGGATGGGCGAGGAGACAAAGTTCATGTTGTGTCAACTTGAGCAAAGCCCGTTCCATCCTTGGGGACCAGAGCCACCCCTTGGCTGGTGAATTCCTGCTGCTTCCGTCAGGGCGTAGGTACATCCTGCCAAAATGCAGGACTAACAGACCAAAACATTCCTTTGTCCCTGCTGCTATTGCTCTCCTGAATAAGTGACTGACCTACTCTTCTTTTTTCTGTTGTCTCTTGGTATTTATTGTTGTCTGAGTGATTGTTGTTTAATTGTTTGTTTATTACTTCTGGCTGTACAACAAATTGCCCCACAGGGATAATAAAGACTCCTTGAACCTTGAACCTTGAACCTTGGAAGAGTTAAATATTTTAAAATACAAAGATGGCAGGAAAACATGGAGTGGCGATTGTTTGGTCTGTGACGTAAAAGGTCACCTATCAAAAGGTCCAATACTAACAAGCTGAAATGGGGCTCCACCTACCGTAGTGGAATTGGACATACTTCAGTCAATGAATCGATTCCCCTCCTGTGCTTGTATACTGGGACAAGGACAGTAGTCCAATTAAATGGCACAGTGGAGCTATAATGGTAGCTCCACTTAACTGTGCATGTAAACGTACTGACTGACTTTGTGGTGGTTTTGCCTCTTGTTCTGTTGGTTTACTTCTCTTTGAGGTCATTTTGTGTCTCTTTGCGGTTCCTTTGCAGCTCATTGTGGTCATTTTAAGTCTCTTGCTGATTGGTACATGTTAATGTAAGTGACATTTTACCCATAAAGGCCAGGGGGGCCCTGACATTTTGGGCCCCAGGACCTGTGCCTCGTAGTCCCATTCAGTAATCCATATATGGCAATAATGCAATTAAAATGAAAGGCATGTTATTATTTTCATGCATGTGCATGTGCATGTGACAAACTAAGTGTACTACAAACAAAGGATGATGGTCAGCACGCTCCCAGTTTGGAGAAGCAGCAGGAGTGCAAACATGGAAACCAAGCAATGTACTGCTGTGGATGGAAGCAGCAGCGAAACATATTTCAGCCACCTTAAAACAGTCGATTGAAGTGGATGCTATATTGAGAGTATTTTGACTCCCCATCTATGCTCTCGTCAAAATCACCAGACTCCACTGACAAAAACAGTCATTTTGGCTCACAGAGCACAGGAGCTGCTGGTCTGCCTCTGCTTCAATCAGTTAGTTAGTTTGTGTTTCTGTGTGACTTTGACGAATCTGAACCAACCCTTTTAAACACCAAAGTCACACAATAACACAAACAAACTAACTGATCGAGGCAGCAGTAGACCAGCAGCTCCTGTGTTCAGCAATCCTAAATCACTGTTTTTCTCAATGGAGTCTGGCTTTGCCAGTCAGAAACTGCTGTCTAATAGCAAGTTACAGCAGTGAAAATATTCTAAATATACTGCAATCTTAAATTAAGAGAGATTTTTTTTTTTTAAGTGGCTAAAATACATTTTTGCTGCTGCATTTGTCCACTGATGTATATTGCTCAGCTTTTGTGTTGAACTCCTGCCTGCTTTTCTGTAGTAAGGGCGTGCCGACCACCATCTACTGCAGGTAATACACTGACTATTGATGAGTACCCCTGACAACCCTACTTTAAAATGTCTGAACTATCCCTTTAAGTTACCAGAACACAACAGAAGAAAACAGACAAAAAAAGCCAAGTGTTCCTTATTACACACATCACTGTATCCAGTATTTTAAACAGTGATAGGGAATTTCATCTCCTTAATTAAGTCAGCCTTTCAGTCATGGCTGTCTTTAATTTATTCTAAATGAACTAGAAAAGTAATTTCCTGTGCACAGGGACCTGAATCACTCCTGTGTTTAAATAAATGTACATTAATTTATATGTAGATGTCACTTAATTAAAATAAAGATATTTTTATGTCTTGCATGCGATGGTCATTTTTACGATCTTTTGTAATCATCCCCCAGTGTGTAGTGAAGACGAGCAGAGCTGTCCGCCATAAGAACATCCCATTAACATGTTCACACATCACACATGAAAATGAATCAATGATCAATAACCTGCAGCAGAGTGCCAGCTCAGCAGGAACGGCTCACATCGACTGACACTTTCTGACAGATGGATAAAGAGTCACGGCTGACTAACGTTAACAGCTCTTTAATTGGTAAAATTAATCTAAAGATTGATTGATAATCGTTATGAAAACTGCCGACTACCTTCCACCCACCCCATTTCCTCTTACACGCCCTCAACCCATTCACCCTCCCACAAATGGTCCATTATGATATAATCCGTGGTGCTGTGCTGCGCAGTGATCTGTAAAGAGCTCTAATCTGTGACACTCTCAGCTCGGTCAGACACTCACCGGGAAGTAGAGGAGCAGAGAGCCGAACAGGATCGTCTCCAGCAGCAGGAGGCCGGACGCCCGGATCCTCTGAGGGACCAGAAAAACAAAAAACAGAAAGTTACAAGGAGCTGGTCGAGAGGATAACACACCCAACCAGTGTGTTTTCACCTTATAATAAACTAAAAATCGTCGAAAGAACTGCTCAAATCTCTTACTTTAATAAGAGCAGCAGTGCTTAAGTACTTACAAAAAAAGTCCTGCATTCAAAACTTTACTAAATAAAAGTACAAAAGTATGGGGTACCAAAGTACTCATCACGCAGAATGTCCAAATAGTACATAGTTAAAACAACCCAAGAACAAATAGAACAATGGCCAACCATCAGGGAGAAGAACACAGTGAGTCTGTCTCAAAGTCAAAAAAAATTCAGGCTTTAGAAATCCAAGCTGTGACAGGACACTTTGGCCAATCACAAATAATTCAAGAGAGAGCACATTCCTATTGGCTCGTCTAAAAATGCAGATCAGGCTGCCAGGAAAGCCGTTCAACCTTGAAGCAATTTTTTTCCAGTGGCCACTTGCGGTATTGCAGCAAAAAGCATTTTCCCCATAGACCACCATTATAAAAGACACGTCTGTAAAACTATTGAGAGGACACCTCAAACTGAAAACAAGGTCAATTATGATGCTTTTCATTCTGAAATTTTGAGCCATGGCAATTTTATATTTGTAAAATGGGAACTCATGGGAGAGGCCAGTGGGAGAAACACCACTGCACATATTCAGTGGGCGGCATATCACGGAAGTTAACCCAGAAGCTAGAAAACTTTTTCGGCATATGTGCCAGGCGAGCAACTCCATAGAAAAGAATAGGAGCTGTCTTGGCCTCTGGTATCTAGTTATTATTAAAATCTATGATGCAGATGTCTGTGCACGTCCCTTTTGGCAAAAGCCTGATTCAGTGAGGAGGAATCCTGCAGAGAACGTTACTGTTCCAGCGCTGACAACTGCCTACACGGCAAGGCAACCAAAAAAAGGAAGACGGACTGATCAAAAAGAGAGTCTGAGAATAAATGAAATAAAAACACACGTCCATATGGGCAAAGTGTTTCAGAGATGAAGAGAAAATGTTGCTCAAAGTTTAGCCCTCTGCTAACTGAAGCCAAAGACTCACAGCTGTGGCTTCAAGTTTACGTTTATGTAGCTGACATTAGTGAGAGCCTTCGAATCCCAGTGTCTCCTCCGTCCAACTCCCCACAGCTACAGACCACGTTGTCAGGTAGAGTGCACGCAGCAGCTCCAGAGACTGACCCACAGTCAGCGGCCAAAGCAACACGAATCCAGCCGGTGCAAACCCTAACTCGAACAGCCCCGACTCCCCACCGGATCAGCAAACTTTCTGTTGCTGCAGTTACACAGATTAGATGTGGCGTTGTCCCTGGCCACCAGCCTCCAACTATCCATCTCCCGGTAAAGCTGTCCACAGTGGCGGTGAGCAAGGTGGAGGGACTGTGGAGTGGCTAGCAGCTAATTTTTGTCTCAACTGACCTTTTGCTAAGCCCCGCCCCTTCGTGATGGTCCAACAAGCTGTCGCAGTAAGCATGGAGCCCACACTGTAACTAACTGCACTCCCTGAAGAAATATTAGCATATTTTTGGAAAAGTGAAGCAGTGATTCCAGAGAGAAGCAGACAGAGGGGTCTACAGTCTGTGTTTGAAGGATATATCCAGGATGTCAAACTGACTCAGCAGCAACAACAGGTTAAAAAGACAAAGATAGTTAGAAGCTAAAGCCGAACTACAGGCTACAGATCACGGTGTAAAAGTGAACCACCACATCACTACTGATCGCCACACAAGACAATGAATATAAAGGGAAACTTTGCTGATATTGAACCAGCTGTGTGGCATCACAGTGTGTGCATATGAACTGTGTTTGGCTTCACCCCCGTGCTGCTGCCAGCACCCAGACCTCTGCTGGTGGACGGGCAGGGATCTTCAGGGGAAGTCAAACAACGATCATCTACGTATTATTGACATGAAGACTGAAAGGCAGGTTTAGGATAATCACAGTCTACATTAGCAATTACATAAGACTTAAAAAGTAAACAAACAGCTAAATGTTTTGACATAATGTATCCTGGCTCAGTGCCTGGAACAGCTCTCCTTCATCCAACCCCATCCGTATGGTGTCCACCCGCCGAGCCAAAAAAACCCTGACTCACCCGGTTTCTACGATGCCTGTAGGCCACCAGCATGCTGACGAAGATGAGGAGCATGAAGACGCCCTGGACGGCCAGCACGGCACCCCTGAGAAGCCAGGCCTCTTGCACCCAGCAGGGGGTGCCGTCCTGGCAGCTCTTACAGCCCGGCCAGCACGGGAGACAGATGGGCATGTTCGGGTAGCACACACCGCCGCCGCCGTCATCACTCGTATTCACAGGGCCGCCATCTGCATCGACACCTACACAAACCCATGTGAAGACCTCAGATACATGTGACTTGCACCAAAACCTCACACAGCACAGACAGCAGTATAATCTGGAACCAGTCATCGTTTAATGCCTCTAAAGGTTTTATTTCTCTGTTTTAGTATAAAAGAATCACAAGTAGCCAAGGTTAAATTTCTCGCCCACCACCACCACCACCACAAAGAACCAGGGTTTGATTTCTATCCTGATTCCTCTGAACGTGAAAACTGTTCTATCCTGTCCTTTTCACTGCACTAGCAACTCTTGGTGCTTGAAGTGGAGGATGAACTCGAAGTAGGGAGAGTGGGAACTTCCTGCATGCCACAGAGGAAGCATGTTTGCCTCCAACTTTCCACAGGCCAACAGTTGTCAGCAGAGACAAAGAGCATCTGGGGATAAAGGTACAAATAAAGCTTCGAACAGCTCTAGTCTGTAGAAATGTTCTGGTATTAAAGGTCCAGTGTGTGGGATTTAGGGGGATATACTGGCAGAAGTGGAATATAATATAATAAGTTTGTTATCTTTAGTGTATAATCACCTAAAAATAAGAATGGTTGTGTTTTAGTTACCTTAGAATGAGACGTTTATATCTACATAAGGAGCAAGTCCTCCTTTATGGAGGTCACCATCTTGCACCGGCATGTTTCTACAGTAGCCCAAAGTGAACAAACCAAACACTGTCTCTAGATAGGGACATTTGCGTTGTTGCATCGGCCACCATAGTTAGAAGCCCATCTGCAATAAGCAGCATTGCAAAAAACTTTTTTTTCTAGCTTTAAACTGCCTTCAGTGTTTTCACTAGTTAAAATACATGAGACCTGTACTACGAAGCCTTTTCCGCTTACCCAGGATATCCTCTAGTTATCTGGCTTGACTAACCCTAACATTGGCTGTCTGGATAACAGGTACTACAAAGCTGGTTATCAACCAATTCAGTAAACTCTGGGTTTTCCTATCCAGCCACAAGCGTGTTCATGTGAAAGAGGCCAGGGTGTTAATTGCAAGCGTCATCATCAGAGTCATGAATGAAGTCTGCTTCATATCATGAGATGAAATGGTTCCATAAGCGTCTGCGATTATGAGACAATAAAATATCAGTGGCATGGGATGTAAATGATTCTTTCGGAAATGTAGAAATATTGAAAATACTATTCAAAAATTCACAGCTGGCCAAGACTTTCATTACGTGCAGTTGACAAAACTCCTCTGAATGTCACATAAAACACGTTAAAGTAACACCAGACTGTTTCTGCTGCTGAACGAAAGAGTGGAAAAGTAGTTAAAGACTGATGAGAATTTCTAGGCGCAGCCAAGTGGTGGAGGGTGTCAGGTTCGGTGACAGGAGGATCTCATCTCTGCTTTTTGCGGATGGCGTGGTCCTCCTAGCTCCATCGAACAGTGACCTCCAGCTCTTGCTGGGACAGTTCGCAGCCAAGTGTGAAGCGGCTGGGATGAGAATCAGCACCTCCAAGTCTGAGGCCATGGTCCTCAGCCAGAAAAGGGTGGATTGCCCTCTCCAGGTTGGGGGGGAGGTCCTTCCTCAGGTGGAGGAGTTTAAGTATCTCAGGATCTTGTTCACAAGTGAGGGTAGTATGGAGCGGGAGATTGACAGGCGGATTGGGGCGGCGTCAGCAGTGATGCAGGTGCTTAACCGGTCTGTTGTAGTGAAGAGGGAGCTTAGCCAGAAAGCGAAGCTCTCGATTTACCGGTCGATCTACGTTCCAACCCTCACCTATGGTCACGAGCTCTGGGTAGTGACCGAAAGAACGAGATTGTTAGTATAAGCGGCCGAAATGAGTTTCCTCCGCAGGGTGGCTGGGCTCAGCCTTAGAGATAGGGTGAGGAGCTTGGACATCCGGGAGGGACTCGGAGTAGAGCTGCTGCTCCTCCACATCAAGAGGAGCCAGCTGAGGTGGTTCGGGCATCTGGTAAGAATGCCTTCCGGACGCCTCCCTTGGGAGGTGTTTCAGGCATGTCCAACCGGGAGGAGACCTCGGGGCCACCCCAGGACACGCTGGAGGGATTACATCGCCTGGCTGGCCTGGGAACACCTCAGGGTTCCCTCGTAAGAGCTGACGGAAGTGGCTGGGGAGAGGACTGTCTGGGCTTCTTTGCTCAGGCTGCTGCCCCCGCGACCCGGACCCGGATAAGTGGAGGATGACGAGTACGAGTACGAGGTCTGTCTGAACAAAATGTTTGTGGATTATTTTACCAGTGAAATAATATCTGTTTTATCCTTGTTCTCATCACACAGGTGTCTCATGTTATTCTGAGCTGCAGTGATGAATCAGAGTGTAAAAGTAGCAGCACTGTCAGCAGTCACTGCGGACTAAGGCAAACTTGCATAATTTCCAATCCTGCTAAAATCATGTGTTTAGTGTTGCAAATGATCTCTGTGTTTGTCAGAAGCTCTGTTTTAAAACCAGTGGAAAAAGAGTCCTGGAGCAATGAAATGATTCTACTGACCTATAACAGTATACAGCATAAGCTCCTCTTTTTTACCTGAGACGCTGGACTTTTGCTAACAGGTACTTTTTTCTTTAGTAATCTAATTGGTCAGACGTCGGGTCACTGACAGGCTGTGATCTGATACCCTGCAGTTAACCTGCTCCAGAGCAAGTTAGCTGTTCAGCATCAGTTACCACAGTTTTTTTTTATCCCGGTAAAAAGAGAAACAGCTTCGTAGTACTGAAAGCCCAGAGTTAACCCTGAAGTTACCTCACTAAATTCCAATCCAGTCATCTACAGATGACTCTGCAGATCACTGGATCTTAAGTTAAAAGAGAAAAAACGATGAGCACACACGAGCAGGTGCTAGGCAAGCTGCCCATCTTTGACATGCCAGACAACATTGGAGAAACACTGAATTGCAGCGTTAAACTGATTTACTCAGTGTTTGTACTGGTATTAATCACCTGGGGTCTCATTTATAAAACAATGCGTAGAATCCATACTAAATTTGTACATACAGACAAAAGCTAAAAATGGCTTCCACCTCACCATTTGCGTCGCTTTTTTCCTGTCTCCAAAATGTTCATAAGCATTGGCCAAAGCTTCTCCCATCAAGTCTGTCTTTATAGCTCACAACTGTTGCGTGGAAAGTGGTGTACGCCTCTTTCAGGCCTCGTTTTGTGCGTACACAATATTTATAAGTGAGACCCCTGGTGCGTTTGTTTTGGAGATGAGGAGACCTTTGCGGATAATTCGGCTCCTAGTAAAAAACAACCAGGGGAAGTTTCAGCTGGTTGCAATCTGCAGTCCTCACCGCTAGACGCCACTAAATCCCCCTAAAATCGTACACACTGTTCCTTTAATACCAGATGTAAACAGGGCCATAGTCTCTCATAGTATGTCTGCTGTTTGGTGCTGAGCAGGTAGTGTGCAGTGGGTTTATCTATGGGATGGTGGTGGTTTGAGGCTCAACCATACAGTAAATATTTGGGCTGTAAAAAGCAATTAATGAGCTAAAACTGAAGCATCCTGTCTCCAGTGTTAAATCTGCAAATCTGAGCTGCTCTGTGAGGCACGTTAAACTGCTCTGGTTAAATCAGGATAATTTACATCATCTCACCTCTGCATTATAGGAATATAGACAGAAATCATAGCCTGTGTTTAGTTAAGGATGTACAGAACTTAAAATCAGAGAATACTAACTTCTTAATGGAAAAAAACCCCTAAAATTACATTTGCCATTGAAGTTTCAAATAATTGTTTTCATCATAATCTCTGACTCTTGGTTGAGTTTAAATGGACAGTGAACAGTGTACAGGAATCATCTCTCAGTTATTTGACCCGCTGTGGGCAGCAGAGGTCAGTTATCAACTCACCTGAGTCCCGAGGGGCTATGTCAGGGTTGTAGTAACCCTCTTTACAGCGGCAGCAGTACTGACCCAGTCGAAAGCCCTGGCCTGGAGTTGGTACACACTGCAAGAAGCACAAAGATGATACTGATTATTCTCTTTTTGTTTTTGTCTGAGGTGTTTTTGATTGTCCGTCCTTTTCCTTTGAGTTATAATAAGAATAACAACAAATAGAGCTAGTACTCTTTCATTAGTTTTTACTGGTTTTGGTTGTTATAAGATAATTTAATATATTGCTTACAATCTACTTCCCTTTATTTGCTTATTTCACTCTGTTGTCCTCATAATGCAAACATGACAATAGTAACTTTAGTTTATCCAGGGAAGGTTTGTTTGTCTACAGTAACACCCTGTTTCATGTTGATAAAAATTACACACGTAAAGCTGCCCAGTTACAGAACAGAACAGTGTTGTCAAGATGCTGTATTTCTAACTTCAATACAATACATTGAAAAATATTGATATTTGATACCATAAGGCAGAGGTGTCCAAACTTTTTTGAATGGGGGCCAGATAAAACAACGTGAAAATACCTGGGGGGCCAACTGATTCTCGCATCAAATGGGTTAAAAAAAAGAAAGAAAGTGAGACAATGCAACCATTTTTATCTTTCAGTGAACTATTACTACGTGATGCCTGTCGGCAAACTGTATGATAGTCCTATCATTGTGAGGTGAAGGGTAAAAATGCAAAGTGATCTTGCTCGATTAACCATTATTGTGTAAAGGGCCACATACGGTATATTTTGAAAGTCAAGCCGAGGGACAATTAAAATTGGTCTGCGGGCCACAATTGGCCCCCGTGCCAGACTTTGGACATGCCTGCCATAAGGAATATACACCGACATTAAACATTAAAACCACTGGTCAGTGAAGTGAATAACATTGATCATCTTGTTACACTGCAGTGTTCAGCTGGGAAACCATTGGTCCTGGCATTCATGGGGATGCTACTGGACGTGCTCCACCCACCGAAACGCTGCTGCAGACAAAATAACCCCTTCATGGCAACAGCACTTATCGATGGCAGTGCCCCCACCCAACAAGACAATGCACCATGCCACACCACAAAAACTGCTCAGAAATGACCCCAGGAATGGGGTAAAGAGCTCAAGGCATCAACCTGGCCTTCAAATACCCCAGATCCCAATCTGATTGAGCATTTGAGGGATGTGCTGGTACTCCAGAGGTACCCCAATCCATGGTGGGTCCTCCTTGGACCGGACTTTGCTCTGACCTGTCAAGGCATGGACACAGGACCTCTGGGGGGTGTCCTTTGGTGCCTGGGATCAGGGTGTTACTTCAGACCATTCTTGAGCCATTTTTGTGGTGTGGCATGGTGCATTGTCCTGTTGGGGGGGGGGGGGGGTGTTGCCAATAGTGGGGGTACCTGGTCTGCACTGGTGTTTAGGGGGGTGGGACGTATCAGGTGGCATCCACGTGAAAGTCAGAGCCCAAGGTTTCCCAACAGAACACTGCACTGTAACAACATGATCAGTGTCAATGTTTTGGCTGATCGGTGTGTCCAACAAGGCTGTAACACGCCCACGATGACTTTTCTTTTCTTGGTTAGCAGCAGAAAACAGCAGAATGACTGTAGTAAACATTAACGATAAGAGAAAGAAGGAAAGAGCAGCTGGTACCAGTGTATCAATACTGCAGATAATTAGACTTGAAACTGTTTAAAATATTCAGAATTGATAAACATATTTTTGACAACACAACTATCAATTATAAATGAGCAGTGAAACAAGACAGGAAGGATGAGTTTTTGTACCATTATTACATGGAGCAAACAAAATAAAAGAAACAGCCGTCAATATAATAAAGTCCAATCATATAGTAATTCAGTGCTTAGTTTTACCATTCGATCTCAATTTTTTCAGCCGTCATTTTAACAATACAAGAAACAGTATGGCGCCCACTCCCTTCACAGTTCACAGACTCTCATATTACAGACAAACAGTGTCAGAAAATAAGTTTATCAAGACATTTTAGTTGAGAAACAGGCAATGTAGTCACATAAATCGCAATCCAGCAATCCTCTGCACAGCGGACAATACGTCACATTGACTGAGCCATAACCAGATGACAGTTTGACGGCTGATTGACAGCTGTCAGAAGTCGCAGTGTAGGATGACAGCACATTCAAATAACTGATGACCAGTCGAATAGTAATAATAGGAATATTGATAGCTTAACTGAATGAAATAACCATAAATATTATAAACAACAAAAGTATATAACTATAAAAATAACAGTGACAGAGAACTGCAGGCGTAATTTCACTGTCGCAAATATAATGTTAGAATCTACAACCTGTGCAGTTATAACTTTAAAGTTAAACTACATACATTGCAAATCAACAACAGCAGAGCTCTCGGGTTGATCTCTGTCTCTGGCTAACTTGCTATGTAGCATTTATTTTATCGCCAAGGTAACGGATATAAAAACAAGAAGGTCAAAGTTCAGGGCTCAGTGTTATGAGGATGTAGTTTGCCCAATTGTGTGCATACTGCATGCAACAGTACGTAGTTTTTCAGGACAGCTGTAGTACCTACTAAAAGTAAAAAGAAAAAGTATGCGATTCGGAGCTCGCCCTCTCTCTTGATCCGCTTCTAGACTTTTTGTGTCCGTGGTGACGGTCACACAAAACTACAAAAGTACAGTTGGTAGTTTGAGCAGCAGCTCTAGAGACAGCGAAAAATCTGCTGTATGATGCAAACACGCCATCCAGGGGATTTGATCTGAGAGCTGAGCAGGGAGATCTGAGTGTTGGTAACATGGAGGGAAGTTTACCACAGTTCATTTACACACACTACTGATATTATTATGACACAGCGCTGGGTGAAATCAGCAGAGTGTCACTGTTAAATAAAAAGTCTGCAGTATTTTGATGTGATTTTATTGTTGGATTTGATGTGAATATTGAAACTTTATTGTTCACTGTATAAGCAAAAGTGCAGACATTGTTCACTATGTATTAATTTCATTTGAGTAAAGTCCCCTGGAAGAGTAGTTGTTGCCAAGGCGATACAAGTAACATTGAATTGTGAGAACATGAAGCAGTGCTGCTTTTCAGCTGCTGCTGAGAGGCTAACAGTACCTGAATAAATAAAGGTTAAAAAAGGGGGTCACATTACTCTCTCTCAGTCTATTTCCCTCTGATGCCAGCTTCAGTTTAGCCTATCGGGCCGACACACACACACACACACACACTTGGATGCTCTGTGTGTTAATCTAAGTTAAAAGCTAAATGGATACATAATGCCTCTACTGAGAGCATTATCCTTTTCTAGAGAAATCCTGTTTCCGAGCCACGCACACACACACACACACACACACACACTGGCCTCACATATGTATATACAAACCCACAGCCCCCTTATCAGATGCTCAAAGACTTAATGGCACGGGCTGAACATTAATGTGATATGGATTATACAGAGCGGTCAACTTAATTCTCTTCATGGTCACATCTCAATTCAGCAGATAGTCGCAGTGCATCAGTGGATTCAGTCATCTGTCGTGTTTCAATTAAAACCGTGGCGGCCACTTCAAGCGCTTCAAAGCTTCACGGCTGCCTGTTTTTTAAATCAGTGTAGTGGAGACTTGTACGAGGCAGTAACTCAGCCCATAACACAAAATGCATGATCAGGAAACACTCATGAAACATGTTTTAACTTAGCATCAGGCTCATGAAAACCTCCAACAAAGGAATTAGAAATTAAATGCTGCAACATTTTTATGTAAAAAAAAAAAAACAAAAACAAAAAACTTTCTGCTGCTCAATGCTTATTCATTTATTTACTATCATTTACCTATTAACTACCTATGGTCAGGTTTCCATCCACATGTAGTGCAAATCAGGAGACAGGCATGGAACGTAAGATAATGGAAAATGTACCAGCGCTATCATAAAGTTCGGTGTTACAGCAATCGCCATCTTGGTTTTTGGAGCCAGAAGTGATCATATTTGGATGAGAGGGTGGAGCTGTGGAGGAGCGAGGGGTGGAGCTGATTGAAAAGCAGAAGATGCTATCAGCAGACAGCGTCTTCACCCATAATTATGCATAACTTTAAGCCTTAATAAAATGTAAAAGTTACCAAAAGTTATATAAAGATTCAACAGTTGTCATGACGGGGGAAATTAGCTACAGAGACATTTTTGTACCAGGCTGTAAACATGATTATTTCAGCTGTAAGGTTGGGCATTTTAACATTTGGGTCTACAGGGATTGACTGGCTTCTAGAGCCAGCCTCTAGTGGCCATTAGAGGGACTGCAGTTATTGGCACTGCCATGTTGGCTTCATTTTCATCCCCCGAGTTTGCCACTTGATTTTGGGGTATTAAATAGCAAGTTAGCTGACAAATACAACCACTTGTGTGTCACATCCAGCACTGCCCATAGTCAGCAGGCGATGGTCACTTGCCTGGATTTGCTCATGTGCGGCCAAGATGACAAAGAGAGATGAGATGATATGTGACAAGAAGAGACAAGACATGTTAAGCAATGAGAGAGAGCAGAACCAAACGGGACAGAAGACAGTGGGTGACCCAGTACAGTCTCTGCTCAGCCAAAGGGTTTGAATCCTCTAAGCCAGGTGGGACAGGATGGGACAAAGGGTGCCATGTGGATTTGGGGATTTTTAGGACTGCTCTTCTCTTGTGTTTCAGACCTCTGTGAGTGCGGTGCATAAAGGGGAAGTATGTCAGCGGGCTGGATTATCGCCGTAATCCATCAGATCATCCTGCAGCCCGCCACCCAGCGCATCCATCTTTAAATAGACGGCTGAGATGAGAGGTAGAGGATTGGGTCTGCACAGACAGAGCCGACAGGGAAAAGGGGGAGCACACAGAAGAGTGAAAGTGTGAATATGTGAAAGCATGAGCAAAGGATAAAAAAGAAGTAATGAGCATAGAGAGAAAGAGCTTAAACCATTTTCAGAGGTCGCAAACAGTTTAGAGTGTATTTGTGTGACATAACTAACAGTCACAAACATGAGTTAGACCACTGGTTCTCAACCAGGGGTCCAGGGACCCCAGTGGTCCTTGAGGTAGTTC